GACAGCCACGAGGGCCTCGTGAGCCCTGGAAGAAAAACAAGGACAAACAGGTGTTGGATAAGAATCTCGAGTGACGCGAACTTCCGGAGCTCACCTGGCCTGTAAATACAGTCTATCCCGGAAATATAAATCCTCGCGATGGTGAAGCGCCATGTCAATGCGCTCGTGCTGTGAAAACTTCTCAAAGGCTTAGGCTGGAAACAGAGTGAGCAAAAGACAACACTAAGTCGTAAGAACACGAACCTTACGTGTCTTTTGCAAATGAAGACGCGCTACGATTGTTTAGGCAGTTTGCACTGCCTCAAAAACTTGGCTGCCTCCTTGTCTTTCCTGTGGCAGAGCACGCGGAGCAAAATCTCTGAGTCGGCGACTTGAGCGGAACTCTTGGCAGGGTTGCTCATTTGTTCGCTTGCTCGTTTAAAGTTCTCAATTACCGCGTGCGTCTGAAAGAATTAGATTGAAAAGCTGGCCGCAAAAGGATTGAGGTAAAATACCTCAAGTCTGTAGAGATTTAGAATTTGATGAACCTGGGAGGCAGCATTATTAACAGTCACTCTTGGAAGGCCGTCACCATCGGCAACAAAGAAATCCTGGAGCGCAAACTGATCGAACCGCAGTTGAAAGAAGCATCAATTTACCTTCAGAATATTAAGATCCTGTTCCAGTATTTCTGTGTCAGCTTGAGAAAACGAACGAAACGGACCGCCATCAAGAAGCACCCACAGAAATCCTTCCTGTATAGTTTCCAACATTAGACAGCCATATATTAAGCTATCACGCGCATACAAGAGATGCTTCCAGGAGTCCAAACACTACTTGATCCCGTAAAGGCTCAACAAGAACCTCACACAGCTGACCCAATGCCTGCAAAAAAAGATGAAAGAATCGCTAAGAAGCTGCCAAAAAAAAAAATGGAAGCTTACCGTGTCAAGTCCATTCACCACTTTTTCGATACGACACTGGCCAACGTTTCCTTTGTATAAAGTATCAACATATGCTTCACGCATGTCCCAAAAAATAAGCTTGAAGCCTACATACAACATTGTCAGACATGTAGCTAAATACAGATCCTTATTCACCTGTAAATTCGCACGTTTGCTCAAGTACCCAGGTCACAAACTTCTTAGACGTTTCAAAGCCAGGCAAAATCTCTTCGCTTTGCTTTGACTTTATCTGGCTTCCTGCAAATTTGAAACGTGAACTAGAACCAACCATAAAAGTACCACTCATACCACTGGAATACTGTGCCCTCTTTGTTAGCCACTTCTGCTTGATATTTTCTTGTAACAGATTAAGTTGATTCAGTACAAACTGTTCGGAAAATGTTAGAAAAGAGTAACCTGGTAAAGTCAGCTTACGTGCAGGGTGTTCAGACGCATGCAAAGCTTAGCTGTTGTAAGCGCGTTCAATTCGCTCGAACGCTTCTCGTCTGGCAAATGTGGATCGCTCACCTTCCTCTTAGAGAACACCTTAATAGAGATTTCTTTTTTGTGGCGTGTTAGAGCCGGTGCTGGAGGTATTAAATCAGCCTTGTCACCTGATTCGAACATATAAGATGCGTCGGTATGCTAAAAAAAAAACAAAAACCAACGCACCGAGTTGCTTGTGTAGTTTGTCGGAATAAAGTTGCACCGCATTTTCCAAGGCATCTATCAAGTTTTTTATATGGGACGCCCTTATTGGAAACTCTATGCCAAAGAAACTGTCCACTACCTATAGACAACATGACAGGATCTGACTTAAAGCCTTGGTGCTTACCTTGTCAATTGCTTTAAAGATGTCTGAGGCAGAACGACCATAGCGCTCTTCTGGGGATAAAGGTTCCCAATTCTGCACAAGAACTCCAGTTTATTTGATAGACAAAGGGTATACCTCTCACCTCCTCCATGAAAGCACTTTCAACACCATTGGAGAGCTCTTCAAACTTTGTTGTTATACAGCGCATACTCCAGTTCCCCGGTATTTTATCTAGCTGCAAAAAAGAACATCAGAAGGTTGTACACCTCCAGTAAGCTAACCTCGTATGGTATCATTTGTGCCTTATATTCGGCAACCTTTCCATCCCCGTTCTCTGCTGAAGTTACCAAGTCCAATAAATATTGTTCCAAGTTATCCGCTGCATATAGTAGTGAAGTGACTTCATCGTCGGGTGATGTCGACAATCTTTCAAGACAAGGTTTCTGAGCATACACAAGTGATTGGTAAGAATTTTATCTTCTAAGAAACTTACAAGCTCCTTGAAGTAAGCAGCATGCAATACTGAAGCCGTGACAGCAACCGACAAAGGTCCCCAACGACATAGGAGAGGGGAAAAGAACGTAATATCGTAATCAGCGAGTTTTTTAGTATCTTCAGCAAGTGATATCAGCCGACCGCAATGGCCTTCTTGTTTTGCAGATTGTGCTAAAACCTATAAGCAGCCATTAGTATTCAAATATCGAGTACAGGTCGCTTACGAACCCTTGCATAGGCCTCCTTAATCGATGAAGATATGTAACCCTCGATCAGCTTTGCAATAACTAACGTATTCGATATTCCTGGAGCTTTCTGCATTTTATGAGCAACAGATTAATTGACATGATCCGAAAGAGGAGTAAACACAATTTACCGTTTCCTCCTCAGTTAGAAGCCTTGCAGAAGTTACAACAATGGCAAGCACCGCTTCCATTTTTGTACGATCCTAAAATCAAGATTGAGTAAACGTTGAGAGCACATGCACTTACATGCTGAAAGTACAGATGGTAGTCATTCAACTGCTTGTCAATCCATGACTTAATAGATCCCAGAACAGCTTGGACATATGAAACATCGAGATTCCCGTGTTTCGTTGTCTTAAGATACGCCCGTTCTGCTACAGTTCTTGGTCGATCAAATGTAATCAGTTTCATTTGACGTTGAGCGTGCTGGAGCAAGGAAAACTCCCCAGTGACGACGAACTGTTCCATAGCCAAGTTTGTGAATAAACAGACGTATTTCTTAGACATTACCTGTTTGAAAATAACCCACGTAAAGCATGTATCGTGTACAATCTGATTGAGTCCCAACACTCTCCACGTCGATTTTAGCAGCTCAAGGAGTTCCTCTGCTTCCTACGAAGGGACGTAATACCGTGAGCCTTCAAACATACATGAGACGCTAACCTCAATAAATTGGCTCGAGTTCACAGGGTCAAATATACCAAACAGTAGCTTTTCGTACAAACGCACATTCAAATAGTAACCGTCGGCCCAATGACAGGGTTCTTCAGATTTCCCATTTCTTCCTGAAATTGCGAGATAGACATCCTTAACACGTTTTAACGCGTCGGTTCGGTCTTTAGCCTAAAATCAGAATTTAAAATCACGCAAAAGAAAAATTAAAAAAAAATCACTTACAGCGGAAGTTTCAACATTAGATATTGAAGCCATCAACTCCATAGCAAGATGATCCGATCGATCAAGGTTCCAATGGTAATTGTTCAACACTCCTTCTCTTACAATATTTAGCTGCAAGGAAAAACACTATCAGAGCAGAAAAACGAGGTTACAAATATTACCAATCTCTTTTGCCAGTTTAGATAGGTAGTCCCGTCTGGAAAAATTTCCCGTTTTGTATTGCATAACAACTCGAGCGGCACAAGCAAGCTATCAGTTCTTTTGCCCAATCTTCCGCTCGATGCATGAAACAATGCATCTGTTGTCCTTTTGTCATTCTCTTCAGATATCTGTCCATACAGACGGTTATCTACAGTAGCGAGCTACAGATAAACGTACCTCAAGTTGCTTTCGCATTATGCTCATCAGACAAGCGAGACCGGAAGCCTTCGATTGAGGCTTCCATTTTCCAGACCGCGAGACGCTCTCTTCCTTTTTCATCAGCCCACTACACAATATAGAAATCAGAATCTAGCAAACCAAATAAAAGGCCCCACCCGGCTGCTCCCACTGATGCTAGCAAAACTTCGTATGCTGTTTCCCGGATATCGTCGTCGGAAAGACCTGGGACAAACTGGGGTGTCAATAAACAACTTGACAAAAGTTTCACACACCTGTTTCAAAAGCTGGCAAGCACAAAGCGATCTCATCGGCATTTTTTATTTGTTCCCCTTCTTGGAATTTGAAGGGAGCCTCCACCGATGGACAAGATCCCCCATCTGCAATCTCCTCACCCACAGGCGACGTAGATAAAACTGTGTCGTTATTCTGTGAAAGAAAGAGTAATTTTCCAGCAAGTCGATACGACACGATCTTTTACCTCTTGAGGTGGTGGCGAATTAAATGCAGCTGCTATGTCCATAGTGAGGCCTTGAATGGGATCCAGAGCGTTTACTTAGTAGATTGAGTAATAATTCGCAAAGCACCATCCTTACCTTTCCGTGCCCGGTCAAGAACATACTTTACATCGATGCTGTCGTAATTTACTCCATCCAGAGGTGTCACGACGATCTTGCTGTTGATGGCGAGTATGTATTCCAGGAGCTCGCGCCTATCGGAGCGCAATCTCTCGATCTCGCTGGCAATAAAATTCGTCTAAATCTAAGACATTATCGACAAAATATCCACTGCCATACCTCTCCATTGCCGGAGTGCTGCTCCTCAAATCATCTCATTCTTGCTCCATCGCCAATGCAGGTACTCTAGAGCTCGATCCAGGGCGAGGAATCGATGAAGAAGAATCCGCCGGCCGCTGCGATTTCGATATCAAAATGCTGCTGCTGGCATGCTCCATTCAGCGCTGTGGATGCGGAGCTCGGATCTCTGGAGGATTGGAGAAGAGAAATCCGACCCTAACGCAGCTGATCCAATAGCGCCTTCTAGGCTTAAGCCGGAGACGCTCGACGGGATTCCTTCCAATCCTAGCCCTCGTAGCCCAAGGAGAGCCGTCCAGATGGACGGCATCGGCCACTGCGTCGTGAGCCAGAGGTGCCAGGCTCGATTCGCATGGCGGCATGAAAGCCATGTCCTCTGCGTGATGTAAAAAGGAATCTCACAAGTACACACACAAAACTACTATAGCGAAGAATGGAATCTCTCCCGGCTTTAAAACCGATCGATCGTTGGATAGATGGTAACCGCAATCCAATGGTGGTGATTCAAAGCTCCGAGCTCGTCACCCCAGCTCTTCCTCTCGAGCGAAGAACTCTTTATCTCAGCAACATCGATCATCAAGTTTTCTTCCATGTCGAGTGGATCATGGTCTACGATTCGATCGACAATCCCCGCGATTGGATCGAGAAACTCCGCGAGTGTCTCGCCAAGATCCTCGTTCCGTACTACTTCCTGGCCGGGAGTTTCAAGCTCAATGACGAAAATGGGCGCCTGGAGATCGATTGCAATGGAGCTGGAGTGGTGTTTACGCGGGCATCAATGGACGCCACCATAGCCCAGCTCCACAATCTCCGTGATCCAGATCCTCTCTTTCGAAAAGAGCTCATCACACTTCCAAGGAATGTGGAATCCATCCAGGATCTTCCATTGCTCACTCTCCAGGCAAGAAAAGTGATCAAATCTTTCGCTTGATTGCAAAATACCCTTGTTCTTCGAAAAGGTGACGGAGTTCCAGTGTGGTGGGATCGCTCTGGGAATTTGCGCGAGCCATGTCGCCATGGATGGATTCTCGGCATACAATTTTCTTCACGACTACACGAAGATTGTGCGCGGCTGCCAGGAGTTCTTCCCCAATCCCTGTCCCGATCGATCGCGCTTGCTTCCTCGATCGCCCCCTCACACCTCCTACGATCACAAGGAAATGCAGCGGCTCACAGAGATTCCCCCAAAAGTTCTCTTCGATCCACGCTCGTTCTCTCCGGAGCTCGATCACACAAACCTCGCGTTTAAAGTCCTCGAATTCACGGCCGGGATGATCCAGAGCCTCAAGAACACGGTCCTGGGATCACAATGGATCAAGCGTCCCTCCACGTTCGAGGTCCTAGCAGCTCACATCTGGCAGGCAAGAACCAAATCGATGGATCATCTTGCTCCAGGCGATCCATCGAAGCTCTTCCTGGTCACGAGCACGCGAGGCAAGCTCGATCTTCCGGAGAATTTCTGCGGGAATGCTGTCGTGGGGGCGAGCTGCGTGGATGCCACGGCGGGAGAGATTCGCCGCCAATCTCTCGCGTTTTGCGTCGATCGTGTCCGGCGAGCGCTGGCATCTACTGGAACCGAGGATTACATTCGGTCGCAGATAGATTGGTGCGAGCTCCACCGCGGGATGATCGACATTCCGGGAGGGACGATCATCACGCCGTGGTGGAAAATCCCCTTCCAGGACCTGGATTTCGGCTTTGGGAGGCCCAGCTACGTGACGCCGGTGGTGAATGATCGCGCGGAGTTCGTGGTGATCGTCTCGAACTGCAAGAACGATGGTGGGCTGGGCGTGTTCTTGGCTATGGAGAAGGAGCGAATGCCATCGCTAGAAGCAAATCTATTGTCCTGTTTTTAGGGTTCTTCAATGTTATAAGGAAATGGTGAGGTTTAGGGTTTGCGTGAAACCAATGAGTGACAGCGAAGGTGCTCCAGAGGAGGTCACGATGGTCGAGGTAGGCGCCGCGATCGCATTCTTCCTGCTTCTCACAGATTGCGATTCTAGGGCCGGGATGCCGCGGAGATTGCTCAAAAGCAAGAACGCGACACCGAGAAGAGGTACTTCTCTCGTTTTTTTTTTCCTTCATACGAATGCAGTGGGTATCTTTGCTCGCTAGGATAGCGTCCGAGGCGAAATCCAAGAGACGCAAGCGGGACGAGCGCAATAGAGAGGCAAAGCTAATGAAATTGGAGAAGAAAGCGAAGAAGCTGGAAGAAATACAAAGGAAAGAAGAAGATCTTATCGAGAACGATTCCGATCCCGAGGCTGGAGTTTTGGCTATGAAAAACTCGGGCTTCCTCGACGAGAGCGTTGTCCAGTTCCTCATAGACAAGGAGCGGTAAGTTCTCCCTCATTTCCTTCTTCTTTACATGACTAGCGTTTAAACTCAACAGGAAGGAAGCGACGAATGTATGCGATGCTCAACCGACAGAGTCAAGGCCCAAGCGAAAGACCAAGAAGAAAGTTGCGAGAATCTCAATCGATGACAGGTTAGAGAGTTTTTATATGGATGAATTTCTGAATAGATTCTTTGAGTTTGCGCAGAACCAAGCTCGTAGTGCTGAATGACACCCCGTCTCATGCACGGAAAAGCTCAGACTTTCTCAAGCAAAGACTTCAAGGGTCACATATACAACGTTCCAATATCATGCTCAAACCAAAATCTCAGAAAAAAAGGTTTTGAAAGGAAAGTCTACAAAATCAACTGGTAAGCATCCGCTGGATTTCAAACCACTAGCCAAGCGCCTGTTTCCAGTCTTCTTAAAATTCGGACAACGTTTAACACCTCTATACTCATCACTCTTTGAATACGTAAGAGCACTGTTTGCAGCTACGGTTCCAGTTTTATTGTTAAAATCGTTAAGAAGCTCGCAGCCTACACACAAGGTACTTTTATTTGCTCTCGCACAAGTCTCAGGACGGGATGTACTCTATAGACAGAGGGATTTGAGCGCCTGGCTGCGCGATGGACCTGAAAGTCGACTGGGTGCTGTGAAAAGTATAGCATGCCGAGCATGTCCCGACCACTCTGACCACCGCTCTCACTCCAAAGCCACGGTTATAGTCACTGGTGAGATTGTAGCTCCTCAAGCACGCGCTGGAGGGGCCATTGAAAATCGCCTGGCTATTTGCTAGAGCCTGGCCTCGGCTCCATCCACTTCGAGGACAAGGTGTGTAAGCTGGAACACGCAAACAACATGAGTAAGAAGTGGTGATTCATCAACAGCAGAACTTACTCGATGAGTTGCTTGCTTGGTAGACACCCAGAGTTCCCCGGGGCCCTTGGCAAGCAGCAAGCTGCGCAAGGAGAAGAATTGCTACGGCCAAAACTAGCGCTCGCTCCATAGATGTGAGTGACATAAGTTCGATCGGTTCGGGTTTTAAACACTCCACCGAGAGTTTGAGTCAAACTGTACTAGCACATCAACTTTGAACTTAAGACAATGTAGTGTAATAGACATGTCACCTAAGCAGCTCTCAGATAAGAGAAAACTGTTGTCAAAGCATGCAACGTAGAACAAAAAGATCTTCCTGTATTGTCAAGTAGAACACAGTGCTTCTTGACGATTTTTGTTTCTCTGGAAAGATCACTTGCATTCCTTGATCTACTGAATCCAGTGAGCTAAGATTTAGCAGCGCGGTTATTTACTTCTTACAGAGATGCAATTGCAAGAGAACATACGGTGCCGAGTCGCTTGGATCCATCCTAAACACCGCATTGGCAGCTCTCACGCCATGACCCACGGCTCCATGCATCTTGGCAGCACCCGTGAGCGTCGTCCACGCCAGAGCTCCCGACGGGGCGGGCAAGCTCCCCACCACATCCTCCGCGCCGTCGAGTTCCCCGACCCGCCCCAGCACATCCACCACGCACGCCCGGTGCTCCACGCGCGGAGTCTCGGCGTGATCCACCACCATGGACGCAAACTGCCGCAAGCTCTCCTCCACGAGGCCGAGATGGCTGCAAGCGTGGAGAACGCTCATGAAAGTGATCTCGTCCGGCCTCACGCCCTCCACATTCATCCGCTGGGCGAGCTCTAGCGCGCCGCCGCGAGCTCGCGCCTGGAGCATCGCGTTCCAGGACACGAGGTTCCTGTCCGGCATGGTGTGGAAGAGGAGCTCCGCCGCGGCCACATCCCCAGCCTGGGCATACACGACGAGCATCGCGGTCCACGCTACGGTATCCCTCTCGGGCATGCTCTCGAAAGCCCACCTCGCCTCGAGGAGATGCCCGGCCTGGGCATACGCCACCACCATCAGCGTCCGTGACACCACGTCCGGGGCGGGCATTTGCCGGAAGAGCTTTTCAGCCTCGCCCAGATAGCCGGACTGGGCATAGGCCGAGATCATCGTGTTCCATGACACCTCGTTCCTCTCGGGCATCCGATCGAACAGGCCCTGGGCTTCTTCCAGCTGCTTGCTCTGCGCGTAAGCGGCCACCATCGTCGTCCAGGACACCACGTCTCGCTCCGCCATCTTTTCTTCAAACATGTCCCTCGATTCTTCCAGGCGGCCGTTCTGCGCGTACGCCGCCACCATGATGTTCCAGGAGAAGACGTTTGGCTGCCGGATGCGCGCGAAGACCTGGGACACCTCCTCTAGCTGCCCAAACTTTCCCAGCGTCTCGACGAGGACGTTGGTGAGGTAGCGATTCCGTGCCAGGTGGGTTCGCTCGATCTCGGCTCTGAGTAGGCGGCACTCGGACAAGCTCCGGCATGATTTCAGGCGCTTGGCTGCCGCTTGAATCTGCTGGAGCCACAGGCTTGTCGGGGATCGCTGCTGGAGTGTGATCGCTTGATCCGAGATGGTCGGCCCCATGCTGTGATCCACTCAATTTTCATGCTTTAGATTTTCAGGAGACTACGTTGGACCATACTTGCATTCGAATGGGTACGATTAATAAAAAACGCCGTTTAAAACGCGCGTATAATACGGCGTTTAAAACGGCGTTTAAACACCAAGAATATTTTAAAAAACCCTAAAGAATATGCTTTCTTTTACTTAGGATTAGGGTTCATGTAAAATCAGGGTTCGAAAAAAACTGTAAAATTAGGGTTCGAAAAAAACTGAAAACCATTATACCTGTTCGAAAAAAAGCTAAACGGGTATTAAACGTTCGATACCCGTTCGAATCCGGTTGCGTTCGAATGTTCGGATGCAAGTATGCGTTGGACACGCTTCAAATACGTCGAGTTTGTTTTTTTTGGAAGATCATGGGCAGAAATTTCTTGCAGTTGCAGCGCAGAGATGACATGGGAGCAAGTCCCCCCTTTCCCACATCCTGCTTTTCATTCAGCAGGCCCGAAAGATCCTGACGGACAAGTACATGAGATCGGCCATCGACTACCTGGAGCTTCATCCATTCTGATCACTGATACGGAAATCCCAGACTCCGTCTCATGTCCAAAGCAATGGAACTGGACCTGGGATGGGGTAAGCCAGCCAGGGTGGAGTTCCCGCTCGACAAAACAGGAACAGCGCCATCATCTTTTTCCCCGTAGATCCCAATGGTAACTGTACTTTTCAGTCAAACTGAATCTCTATTGGCTGTCTTCAAGGAATACATTGCTGTTCTGGAGAAAATAATGCAAGTGTGGTTTCTGTGTTTTTATCTGTTGGCAATTGCTTGCAAAGATTGAAGCCCTTGCACAGCTCAGGATACCCTTGCCAGTGCTGTCAACTGTCAACTCTGAGTGTTTGGATTAGTCAAGATATATCTAATGTGCAGGAGGACGGTTCAAAGTGGAGTTTAAATCATGAGTTAAACTCACTGTTACAATTGTCATATTTGACTATTTCATTTTTTGACTAATTTTATAGTTATCATATATTTATATCTTATTCTTTCATTCCAAAGGTTTTTTCTAAGGTTCTTGAGAAGATAGAAAGCAAGGAAAACAAAAAATCTACAAGTAAAAGTTGTAATGCAAAAAAATTGAGAATGTTAAGTTTGTTTTATTACCATAATTTCTATATTACACTCTTAGTCCTTATTACCCATCTGGGAATATGAAGACTATTGTCATTATTGATAAAATTGCTTCTATTACTTTTAAAATAACAATTTAATAAAAAAGAAATGAAGAAAATAAATAACACAATAGAGTGGATTTGTCCAACAAATAATTCCTATATAAATTACAAATATCATGAAAAGTCTTATAAAGTAGATTTATTGGTGCTACATAAATTTCATATGTTCTTTCCAAGGAGACAATCATTCAATGCTATAGATATTAAGATAAGTATAATTGGTTGTGAGAGGAATAATATTGTTGAAATAAATGGGGTTATAAAAGAACTTCAATTGCTTAATTATATCTAAATCCTCTCATTTAAGAAGAACAATATATATTTTCACAGTGAATGCCCACTAGGATTTTTTGGGAGTTGTTTGTGAATAATAATAATTGAAATTAAAATCTTTTAAAATACTCAAAAGTAATTATATAAAAGAATCAAGTCAATTTACATTTCCAAGACTGAAAAATATTCTTGCATAAAAGAATGCTGTAGTGCCAACATACCCTACCACTATAATGTGGTTTATATTTTTTTGTAGTTTATTTCTCTAAAAAGTTGATATAAGTGTAAAAAAGAATATATACATAGTGGAGTATGTTTTCATCAGAATAATAACCATGTGTATACATGGTAATCTACAAATTCTTATGTTTACAAACAAACTATGATTATAAAGCCCCTATTTTCAAGACTGACATTTAAAAAATTTGAGTATTGTCAATGTCATAATAAATGCACCTCATTCCCAAAACTAAAACTTAATATATAAACTACCAAGAAAAGTTATAGTTGTCATAGTTTTTTTGTTGAGCTTTTTGTAAAGTTGAAAATTTAATATAAGAATGGCTTAAAGGAAAGTCATCACTACTCATACTTAGCTCTTCAGCATTTTATATCAATCTCCACCTCCATCCCTAAGTTTTATCAACATTCCACTTTTACCTCCACATAATAATCTTATTTTGTTCAGGGCTTTAGTGAAGCTAAACTAGAGCTCTATATATATGAAATTCTAGATCTTCTTATTAGAAAGGGATTACTTCTAGTGCTTCAAGAGCAGTGCCATATATTTCTATGAGATCTTGCTCATGACATGGTGGGACTGTTTCAAGCATAAAACACTATTATATTGGTGTATAATATGCTACTTTTTATTAGACAAAATAAATGGCTCTATAGGTTTACAAACTTTTCTTGAGTGCTATAGCAATAACTTAATGGCAGGTCTAGAAAATGTGCATGTGTGGATGTATAATAAATTCAAAAACAAGTTACAGATATATACCTAACACCACTTCATGGTGAAGAATAACATCCACTTGGAAAATACTGCATCAACTAGTGCAGAATATAGGGTTTTAGGCTACCCTATAGTGCAATATAAAATCTAGAATTGTTTTATTATACTATAGTATTGTCTATATATATATATATATATATATATATATATATATATATATATATATATATATATATATATATATAAAACATATCTTGTTCTAGAGTGGAATATCATTTATAAAGTGATCACCACAAAAAAAGTATTAGAAGTGTCATATTCGGTTTAGGAATGATTTGAAATCAGAAAATGTGTAGGCTCTTTTGCCAACTTTTAGATCAATGCAATAGTCATTTTGGTTTAGTGGGAACTAATGAACTAATGAACACATTAAGAATTTGATTTAAAGTGACCAATATGCCTTTTGTCTTGGGTCAAGAATTCATTTTTATGGGCTTGAATAATTTTCTTGAGCACTATTGCAATTGCCACACAAACAGTGTTATCTCTTCATATATAATTATTTATAAGATGTTGAAAAACAAAATGGCAATACACAAGTGCTATATAGTGATGGTGGCAGGTGAGAATAATAATCTGCAATTATGATATCCAACACTGATATTATCATAAACATCTGATATATGATAGTCTTTTCATTTCATGTAAAGATGCATTTAACTTTCTTTTGCCTCATCATCAACATATTAATTCCTTCTACACTTCCTTCTATATAAATATTGTGGGGAAAATTCATTTTGCATTTGTTGAGTTATGCCTTTTACATAGTCAGGAAGACTTCCAAAGCTTCAAATTCTAGAAACTTTAAAGTGATTGTGATCCTTAAAAAAGACTTAAACATGTATTGAAATCTTAATAAACATAATTTACCTCCTTGAGGTTGAAAGCAGCTCATGAAATCCTTTGAGCTGACATTTAAAAAAATGATATTTTTCAATAGTAAACACCAACCTACTAGAGTTATGTACTGTCTCCACTATAGAACCATTGTTTGTTGTGCAATCAATCACAACACCATTTGGTGGGCAATAGAGTTCAAGCAAGACTTGCATTGCTGATTGAGTTGAAAATTAATACTTAGAAAATGTCTTGTATGAAACTTGTCATATGAATTTTTACAGAAGGCATGA